TTGTCTGATTCAAAATGGCCAGTATCAGTACATTTCACCTCACTAAATGCCTAGGATATTGAACTTTATGCATTCCATTTGATGACTTTCAAATTTCCTAGATTCATACTTCATAATTCCACATTCCGATTATTAATGGACGCTTGTAGCTGTTTCTTCTCATTTTGAGTTGTGCCACTTCAGCAAATGAAGGTCCTGAAAGCTTTACTCCATCCACATCACTAAGGTCAACTCCACCTTTGAGGAGGCAGCTCTTGAACGTTCCAAGATGTATCCTGAAGTACAACGCTATCAATGATAGGATAATACCCATACACCTTGAAGGAAGGCAAGTTAATACGACTACTATTACAATTTATGCACCAGCCACTAAAGACCAAAGATTAAGAAATTGAAGATTTTTACCAACACCTGGAGTCTGAAATTGATCGAACGTGCAATCAGGATGCATTGATAAATAATGGTGACTGGAGTGCGAAAGTTGAAAACGAAGAAGGATCGGTAGTTGGAAAATATGGCCTTGGTGACAGAAGCTATGCTGGAGGTCACAAAATAAAATTTCGCAAGACCAACTTCTTCACTGCAAGTATCTTTTTTCAACACCACAAACAGCGACTATACATGTGAACCTCACCAGACAGAATACATGATAATCAAATCGACTATATCTGTGGAAAGAGACAATGGAGAAACTCAGTATCGTCAGGCAGAACAAGACCAGGGGTCGACTGTAGAACAGACCATCAACTGCTCATGCACAAGTTCAAGCTGAAGTTGAAGAAAATTAGAACAAGTCCACGAGCATCAAACCGTGACCTTGAGTATATCCCAGCTGAATTTAGAGATTACCTCTAGATCTGACGCGCTGAACATCAATGGCTGAAGACCACACAAGCTGTGGAATGCCATCAAGGAGATCATACATGAAAAAAATCAAAAGGTTATTAAAAAGACAGGAAAGAAAGAAAAAACAAAAATGGATGTCAGAAAAGACTCTGAAGCTTGCTCTTGAACATAAAGTAGCTAAAGTGAACGTAAGAAATGATGAGGTAAAAGAGCTGAACAGATTTCAAAAGGCAGTTCAAGAAGACAAAAGTAAAGTATTATAATGAAATGTACAAAGACCTGGAGTTAGAAAACCAAAAGGGAAGAACATTGTGGGCGTTTCTGAAGCTGAAAGAACTGAAGAAAAAATTCAAGCCTCAAGTTGCAATACTGAAGGTTTCCATGGGGAAAATACTGAATGACGCAGGAGGCATCAAAAGAAGATGGAAGGAATACACAGAGTCACTGTACCAAAAAGAACTGGTTGACGTGCAACCATTTCAGGAGGTAGCATATGATCAAGAACCAATAGTATTGAAGGAAAAAGTCCAAGCTGCACTGAAGGCACTGGTGAAAAACAAGGCTCCAGGAATTGACGGAATACCAATTAAGATGTTTTAATAAATGGATGCAGTGCTGGAGGTGCTCACTTGTCTATGCCAAGAAATTTGGAAGACAGCCACCTGTCCAACCAACTGGAAGACATCCGTATTTGTGCCCATTCCAAAGAAAGATGATTCAACAGAATGCAGAAATTATCGAAAATATCATTAATATCACAAACAAGTAAAATTTTGTTGAAGATCATTCAAAAGCAGCTGCAGTAGTACATCGAAGGAACTGCCAGAAATTCCAAAATATTCAGAAGAGGACATGGAACAAGGGATATATATCATTGCTGATGTCAGATGGATCTTGGCTGAAAGCAGAGAATACCAGAAAGATGTTTACCTGTGTTTTATTGACTATGCAAAGGCATTCGAATCTGTGGACCATAACAAATTATGGATAACACTGAGAAGAATGGGAATTCCAGAGCACTTAATAGTGCTCCTGGGGAACCTGTACGTAGACCATGAGGCAGTTGTTTGGACAGAACAAGGGAATATTGCATGGTTTAAAGACAGAAAAGGTGTGCATCAGGGCTGTATTCTTTCACCACACTTATTCAATCTGTATGCTGAGCAAATAATCTGAGAAGCTGGACTATATGAAGAACGAGGCATCAAGATTGAAGGAAGAATCATTAACAACCTGTGTTATGCAGATGGTACAACCTTGCTTGCTGGAAGTGAAGAGGACTTGAAGCACTTACTGATGAGGATCAAAGACCACAGCCTTCTGTATGGATTTCACCTCAACATAAAGAAAACAAAAATCCTCACAACTGGACCAATAAACAACATCATCATAAATGGAGAAAGGCTTGAAGTTGTCAAGGATTTCATTTTACTTGGATCCACAATCAACGCCCATGGAAGCAGCAGTCAAGAAATCAAACGCACTGCACTGGGCAAATCTGCTGCAAAAGATCTCTTTAAAGTGTTACAAAGCAAAGATGTCACCTTGAGGACTAAGCTGCGCCTGACCCAAGCCATCCATGGTATTTTTCAATCGCTTCATACGCACGCGAAACATGAACAACGAATAAGGAAGACCGAAGAAGAACTGATGCCTTTAAATTATGGTGTTGGCAAAGAATATGGAACATACTATGGACTGCCAGAAGAACAAACAAATTTGTCTCGGAAGAAGTACAGCCAGAATGCTCCTCGGAAGCGAGGGTGTCGAGACTACGTCTCACATATTTTCAACATGTTATCAGGAGGGGTCAGTCCCTCGAGAAGGACATCATGCTTGATAAAGTAGAGGGACAGCGAAAAAGAGGAAGACCCTCGAGGTGGACTGACACATTGGCTACAACAATGAGCTCAAGCATAATGACTGAGGATGGCCCAGGACCAGGCAGTGTTTTGTTTTGTTGTACACAGGGTTGCTGTGAGTTAGAATTGACTAAACCGCACCTAACAGCAACAACAAAGAGGGGGGATATTGCAGTCTTGGAGGTCTAGGAAGGTGGAAAGGACAGAGGTAGGCGAGAGAAGCAGAGACTGTGAAGCAGGGTAGGTTCAGAGGGAGTTCCCCCAGGCGAGGGGGAGCACGCCTAGCTAAGGGGGAGACTGGGATAAGCCTTATTTTTATAAAAATAAAACAGAGTTGAATTTCAGAGGGCCTTAAGGGCCAGGCTGGACGTATGACCTCTATGTGGACTATAGGAAGCCGATGGAAGATGGAGCATAGACATACTGAGTCTAACCCTGGTGTGAGGCAGACTGGTAAGGAGTCTAGAGGCCAGAAGTTTGCATCCACTGGAGCCACTTGCTGTGGGATGTGTGTGTCCCCTTAGGAAGCACCCTGACTGGAGACAGACTGTCACAAAGTGCTTCTTAAAAGGCTTTGCCAAGGTAATGCTCTCGCTTTCAAAGAACAGTTTACCGACCAGGAAGGGCTCTGAGGGTCCAGAACAGCAGCCAAAGACCTCTCTCCAGGAACTCTTTGGTGAAATGCCTCACCCCTTCCCTTCCTCAGAGACTAACCCCTCCTCACTTAATCGCAGAGGTGAATCTGCCCCGATGACTTCTGAGACAAATGTCCCAAGATCTCCCTAGGTGCCAGAAATCAAGGCCAAGAGAAACTTTGTATGTAGTCACCAGATGCAGAGGCAGAAGCAGAGGGCACTGTCTGTCCAAATGGCAGCCACACACCATGGCCCAAGCAGCCGGTGGGAACGCGGCCAGTTAGCCTTCAGGCCCCACGTGTGGGCATCGAGCACTCACCTGTCCCTTCGTCCCAGAGCTCCTTCCTGTCCGTCTCTGTTCTCTCCCAACTACTCTCCTTCCTGTCTGAGTCTCCTTCCTGAGTCTCCCTCCTGCCTGAGTCTCCTTCCTGTCCATGCCTCTATTCTCTCCCTGCTGCAGCCCATGCTTCCTATTTTTTTTTATGCTCCTTCACACATCTTTTTGCTGACACTGTCCACTCTGAGCCACACCTTGGGATTTGCAGAATTACACTTGCAACTTTGGTACAAGGACCTCAGCCATGACCCAGCAGGGCGCCTTCTGAAATTTGTTTTGACTAACAGGGAAAAAAAAACACTTTTAAAAATAGCTTTATTTGAAAATGATATGATGAAATTGCTAGTACAAAAGCAAAAAATCTGTTATTGTTCACTGACTTCAACAGCTATGAGAATTAGTTATGGATTAAACCCAGTATGTAAGAGGTCTGCAATTAGATTAAAACGTCATTTATCAATGAAACTTACTTGTTTTTTCCACTAGAAAGACATGTAAAAACTCAATCAATCAATAAAGCTATGGATAAATTTGTGACCGCCATCAAAGGGCATTTACAGAGCAAAGCCCTGAGGTTCACTGGGACTTGAGCCTGCCCAGCATGATCTGTCAGGCCTGAGAGGGAAGGAGGGGAACGGTCACACGTTTAGCTGTGCTGGCCACTGGTGAAGTTAGAAGGAGGGAATGAACCACCATGAACGGCCCTGCTTCACAGAAGGATGTCTGGATAGATACGACATAGGACACGGCCCCAGACGGAGGGCGCCCCTCCTTTCTCAGATGTCAGCTGCTGGGCACCCTCTGTAGGCAGAGCCCTGGAGGAGACGCATGGAGACCTGATGCCCCACCTCCCGGTAACCGGTGAGGCTGAGGTAGACACACAGACACAATGGGCCGGACAACGTGTTGACAGGCCTATCACCAATACCAGGAAGGGTTCTGGTGTTATGAAGTTAGTAAGGTTAGGAAGGATCCCGTAACTATTCTCTCCACATCATCAGAGTACCAGGACAGCACTGAGAGCCGCACATTTCTCAAAAGCGGCCTTCAGCCATCCTGCTGGCAGCTGTAAGATGGGGATGGCCTCGCACCTGGGAACCAGTGTAAACCATTACTCCTCCAGCCTAACGGGGTTCCAACTCAGCTGCACACTGACCCCAGGAGATGAAGCAGCCACTATACCATGGAACGACCTCAGCCCCACTTGCTTTGTGATCTGCCCTGAGAAATGCTAACACCCCAGGAACAGGGTGTGGGAAGGGCTGAGCATGGCCCCCAGGCTCTCACTAGCACCAGGGTCCCATGCCAGACTGTCTGTACCTGCAAGTCCACCAGCTGGGCCGTCGACTTCCCTTGGAGGCACAGGGCCTGTGCGATCAGAGCTTGCAAATCCTCCAGGCCAAGAGTGTCCACCTGGGAGGGAAAGAGGAGAATGCAGGAATGCTGGCTGTGGAAAACTCAACCGTCAGGAATAGCTTCACGAGTAAGAATCATGAGGGCTAACTGTGTCAGTCAGAATCAGCACAAAGCTGGCTCCCATGGAGCAGATCAAATAGACGTCCACTTCCCAACTTCCCCATATTTCTGACACCAGGCATCCCATGGCACTCCCTCCCTCCTGGGTTTGACAATTCATTGCGATGGCCACACACAACTCAGACACACTCACAGTTAATGTGGTTTATTGGGGAAGTAACAGGCTACAACTCAGAGTCAGGATCCACCTGGAAGTAACAGCAGCAACTCGGGATCAGGTCAGGAAGCACATGGGTGAGGTCTGCAAGGATCCCTGAAGTGGCCACCACATCCCTCCCTTTCAGCACCACTCTCTCAGCTGGCCGGCCCAGCTCTTGGCCAGCTGCTCTCTCGGCTGCAGCTTTTTTTCACTGGGTTTCACAGGGTTTTAAGTGCAGGGCCTCCACGTCCCAAAGGATGTGCTCCCCTCTTGGCTCCAGGAAGCCCCAGAAAACTCTGGTTTGGCCCTTGGCCTATGCTAGTCCTTGTCAGTTACAGGGTGGGGCCTCCATCACCAGACGGAGCCCCACCAATCCTCAACTACCCAGGAGACATCATCGACTCAGGTCTTGTACAAAAGTAACGCAGAGACTGGCTCCTCCCCCGGGCACAAGTAACATGCCTCCTGGGGCGGGGAACAACTCGGGCACCTCCCCAAGCTGTTTTTCCAAAGAACTAGTGGAGGCACATTTGACCTCTGCCTCACAGGAACCAATCCGCTTTGTGCTGATTCTTACTGGCAGTCATCTACCATGATTCTCAGTCCTGTAGTTCTTTGCTTCAGTTACAAATCTCTACGTCGGTTGCAGCAGGCACTGACTTCACCATGGACTCTCTTTCACTTAGAGCATCGCCAGGGGCTACAACGGCCGACAGCTCAGCCCTGGGGGAAGGCGGGGCAGAGGCAGCAGCACTGACATTACCTGCACAAAGAGGTAGATAAGGAGGCAGCACAGCGCCCTGAGGGGGCCCTCAACAGCTTGCAGGTCCTCCTGCATGGAGGAGAGGTTGAAGCTAGCCAGGAGCACATCAAAGCGCCGGGCCTGCACGTCTGGCCCCTGGGTCAGCCACAGCACCTTCAAGCTCGGAGTTCCTCCTAAAGGAAAAGCCAGAGCGCGCTGTTAGAAACACAGCACCCATCACCGTCAAGTCTATTCTGACTCCTAGTGACCCTACAGGACAGAGCAGAACTGCCCCATAGGGTTTCCAAGGTGGATCAGAACTGCCAACCTTTTGGTTAGCAGCTGAATGCTTAACCACTGAACCACCAGGGCTCAAATCTCTTCCCTTCCTGCTATGCTTCAGGCTTCAAACTACATGGAACATAACTTCCTGGCTTAACAAAATAAACATAAAAAAGAAATAAAAAGGCCAAGGGCTTGTCCCTGTGCCGCAGCTGTCTCACTAGGATGCTTCCTGTGCTTTCCGGGATACAGAGACAAGAGTGTGTGGCTGCAGTGCTACCACAGACCCTTCTGTTCGCTCTCCCATCCCCAAATCAGGGCTTTCAGAGGCAGAGATGGTAACACCCCTCCTCCTGGCTCCGAGTCCAGGGGACCGGCTTGCCGGCGCACGGCAGGGCCGAGGCTGCGTCTCAAAATGACACCTAAGAGGCTCAATGCAGGAGGTCTCTGGGCCCGGAGCCCCAGAAAGCACGTCCCCGAAACCACTAAACAAACAGGAACTTCCAGAATACAGTGTTTGGTGTTCTATTTCTAGATTACATCAAAAAAGAAAAGCCAAGCTGTACTCATCTACTAAGATGGCTGACAAGACAAAGCACAGGGTGGGGGCCCTGATGACGACATGACTCTCTCCTCTGTGCTGAGCAGCAGAGAGGCCAGCTCTGAGCCGAGCCAGCAGGTGAACCTGCAGCCGGAGACAGGTCTCCCGCGTGGGCGGCAGCTGCACCTTTCTGTAGCCCATGGGGAGTTAACACGCAGTCAGGGTCTGGGTGGGGGCATGGGACACCCCACGAGGTCAGAGTGGTGGGGTAGGGGACGTGCCCCATCTGCTCAGGACACAGATCTTGTTTAGCATACCCAGGCATATTTCCTACCATCAGATACAAAACAACTCAGCAAAGTCACTGCATTTCTGGAAAGGCTGAAGTGTTCCCTCCACAAAAAAAACTCCATTATTCATCTTGGGGAGAAAAAAATAATTTTTCTCAAGAAAAAGAAAATACTAAAGATAACTAGCAAAAACAACAACAAAAAAACAGCCCCCTGGTAACAGGACTTGAGACAGGGTTGGAGATGCTGTCCTAAGACAGTCACAAGGGTCAGTCTGCTGCCACTTCTCAGAAACACACTCTCAGGAAGACAACCGCTAAGGCAAGCAGACCAACTCTGGCCCTTCTCAGACCCAGGACCGTCACACGGCGCAGCTCAGGACGCACATTCACAGAATACCTGGGACACTCATCGGCAGCGGCCTGACAAGGTCTGGGTGCTTCAGGGGGTTCCCGGCGTAGACGAACCACTCCTTCACCTCCCTGGCCAGGCTGTGGGTGCCGTCTGCAGGGAGAAAGCAATCAGTGAGTGCACAGCCACTGGCCTGGGGCTTGCTCAGCTCCAAGCAGACCAGCAGCAAGTTCTCATTTCACTGCCTAAATCAAATTCCATCTGGCTTGTGTCAAATTCCAGGAAAGAATACAGGAAAAGAGCTGGGTAACAAAAGAAAAGAGCTTTTAAAAGCCAGCGTTTCTTCGAGTAAAGGTGGAGGCAGCTCTGGGCCTGAACGGTGAGCAGCGGTCCGTCTCCCAGGCTCCTGTTGTAACCTCACGTGGTGACAGCTCAGCGGGAGACCCTCAGTCTGCCTCCGTTCCCTTCTATCCAGAGGATGAGTGCCAGCACACAGTGGCTAGAAACGCTGCCGACCGTCAACAAAGAACCATCTGGTAGTCTGGGTGATGAGTTTCTCCAAATCCAGACAGTCTGATGACAGTGTTTTTCACTTCAGTCTTACAGACACAGTCACAACCTGCTGCTCCTTCCAAAAACCAGAGGTAGATGCAAAGCAATATCTCAGACATCCTCTTAAAACAAACAAATAAAAACCCCGCATTTTACTGGAAAATCCTAAAGTTTAGGAGATTCTCTTGGGCATCACATCAATTCAGAAATTTTTATCTAAAGCCATGGCAGCAATGTCTACAATAATTTGCTCTGTCTAAACTAAAATGAAACAATTTTCTTTTAAAATGCCTTATACATCAGAAAAGAGAAGAGGAAATTGAGTCCTACAATTCCTGGAAGAAAAGGCTGATTTTCTCATTGAAACTTTCAGTTTGCTGGGCTTAGAGTTCAATTTTCCTCAAATAGCAAGCACAACAGATTCAAAGAAACAAAAATAAGACATTGCCTAAAAAACCAAACCAAACCCGTGGCTGTCCAGTCGATTCCGACTCATAGCCACCCCACAGGAGATGAGGAGAACTGCTCCACAGGGTTTCCGAGGAGTGGCTGGTGGTTTCAAACTGCTGACCTTTTAGTTAGCAGCCGAGCTCTTAACTAATGCGCCACCACCACCACCACCCCCCGTTGCTGTTGGGTAGATTTTGACTCACAGTGACCCTACAGGACAGTAGAACTGCCCTATAGGGTTTCCAAGGCTGTAATCTTTACAGAAGCTGACTGCCACATCTTTCTCCCACAGAGCAGCTGGTTGGTTCTAACTGTCGACCTTTTGGTTAACAGCTGAGCTCTTTAACCACTGTGCCACCAGGGCTCTGCAATACTACCTAGACAAACCTTATTTCAGGGGCCCTGAAAAGAGTAAAAAACAGTTATTCGGACATCACTATTCAAAAAACTGAAATTAAGTAGCAGTTTAAAACTATATTAAGCATAGTTTATATTTTTTAAATTATTTATTTCAATAATAATTAAAATAAATAATTTACTTGAGTGAAACTAGAGTAAAAATTCTTTGCTAGTTTTACTGTCTACTTCTATATGCAAAATGGAAAAAGAATATAATCAAATTTGCTTTTGCTATCCCCAAAGGACACAGTATTCCACTTGGTAAAATCTTCTCTTTGTAAGTAAGACCTTTTCCCCTGGGAGAAAGTTGTAGAACTCTCTCTATTTCCAGCCTCTCCCTCATCAGATCTCTGACTGGATTATACAAACACACCAATTCCCCAGGGTGTTGAAAACTCCCTGATAATTGGGAGAAGATGCTGATTTGCTAAGAGTACATATGGGGTGGAAAGAGACAACGAGGAAAAGCCATGTTGATTGTAACCTCCTATTTATTGTAGTTTTACAATATAATGATCCTCCAGTCCTTGAAAAAATGTATTTGTCCTTATGCTTCTGTAATACTTTTATGTTGTTGTTGGTAGGTGCCATCAAGTCGGTTCCAACTCACAATGACCCCATGAATGACAGAACGAAACGCTGCCTGGTCCCGCGCCATTCCTAAACGATTCCTGCTATGTTTGAGCCCACCGTTGCAGTCACTGTGTCAATTCATCTCACTGAGGGTCTTCCTCTTTTTCACTGACCCTCTGTTTACCAAGAATGATGTCCTTCTCTAGGGACTGGTCCCTTCTGATAACATGTCCAAAGCACGTGAGACAAAGTCTCATCATCCTCGCTTCTAAGACATTCTTATACTGCTGGTTTAATCTATAATTGTGTGTAGCCTTAGCCATTACAAATAGAAAAACTACCCAAACACTCTTTTTTGTAATACATTTCAAAAACAAAACACCACCCTGTGTTATGGATTGAATTGTGTCCTTCCCTATAGGGTCGTCATGAGTCAGAATCGACTCAACAGCAACAGGTTTGGTTTTTGGTTTCTAAAACATGCGCTGGAATACCCGCGCATGTAATCTAATCTAATCTAATGTGATCATCTTCCACAACGCAGTGTAATCAGTAGGGTAACCAATCAGTTGAGGTCATACCAGTGTAAGGTGGATCCTAAATCTAATCACTTCTGAGTTCTGTAAAGAGCAGCACAGACACAAAGATGCAGAGCACACACACAGTGGGAGTACAGCATCTATCTGATGTTGGAGGCAGATGCATCCAGAAACCCAGGAATCTCAGGATTGCTGGCAGCTACTAGAAGCTGAATGAGACAGGGAAGGATCTCCCCCTACAGCCACAGCCTGAATTTGGACTTCTGGCCTCCAAACTGTGAGAAAGTAAATTCCTGTTCTTTAAAGCCACCCACCTGTAGTAATTCATGCTATTCAAAATGTTCCAGCAGACAATCAAAAAACACTAGACATGAGATAAGCAAAAATATGTGAACCCATTATCAAGAAAAAAGTCAACAATGGACGCAGATCCAGACATGACAGAGATGCTGGAACTAGCAGATGAGGACTACAAAACAGCTATTATTAATATACTTAAGGATTTAAAAGAAGGAAAAGGAAGACAGGAAAAAAAGAGATGGAAGATACAAAAAACAACAGCTGGGAATACAGTATCTAAACAACAACTTCACTGGATGAGGTCAAGGGGAGATTAGACACTGTCGAAGGAGAGATCGGTAAACTTGAAAACAGGGCAATAGAAACTATGCAAATTGAAGCACAGAGGGAAAGGTGCTTAAAAAAAGCCTCATCAACCTGAGGGAGTTACAAAGTTGTATACCATACATGCAACTGCAGGCCCAGGGGAGCAGTGAAAAAGATTAAGGCAGAGAAAAATACTTGATGAAAAAATCCTCAAAGTTTTCTCAGATTGGATAGAAAGTAAAAACCCACAGATCCCAGAAGGTCCAGAATCACATGCAGGGTAAACACAAAGTATACTACTCCAAAGCACATCTTAATCAAACTGCGGAAAACCAGTGCTAAAGAGAAAAAAAATACAGCCAGAGGAAAAAGAGATGCATTACATATGGAACAACAGTAAAGACCACTGTCATCTCGTCAGACATAGTATGAGCCAGAAGGCAATGTCATGACACCTTTAAGATGCTGAAAGAAGAAAACAAAAAAAACAAAACAAAAACTACTGACCCAAAATTCTATACCCAGCAAAACTATACCTCAAAAAATAAAGGGGAAATAAAGACATTTAAACAAAAACAAAAACAAAACATAACTCAGAAGATTAAAACCTGCACCACAAGAAACGTCAAAACAAGTTCTTCAGGGTGAAGAAAAATGACATGAGACAGAAACTGGGATCCACACAAAGGACTGAAGAGCACTGGAACGGTGTACATGCAAACCTTTTTTTCATTTATTAACTTCTTTAAGAGAAAACTACCTGTTTCAAGTAGGGATCAGCAAGCTATATAGAATCCACGGGCCAAATCCAGTCCACCCCTTGTTTTTATACAGCCTGCCAGGCTAAAATTAGTTTTCACTTACCTAAATCACTGAAAAAAGTCAAAAGAATATTTTGTGACACCAGAAAATTATATAAAATTTGAATTTCATTACAATGGGAAAATTACATGAAGTTTTACTGGAATACAGTGACATTCATTTACATACTGTTCATAGCCACTTCTGCACTATGAAAACTGATTGAGTTACTGCGACAGAGACCATAGCGGGCACTCAAAGCCTTAAATATTTACTCCATCTGGTCCTTCACAGAAAGTTTGCCAACCCCTCGTGTAAAGTAAAAAATAATAACATATTCCAAACCAAAACCAAACCCACTGCCAGTGAGTCGATTCCAACTCACAGCGACCCAACAGAACAGAGTAGAACTGCCCTTTAAGGTTTCCAAGGAGCAGCTGGTGGATTTGAACTGCTGACCTTCTAGTTAGCAGCTGAGCACAGGGTTTTAAAACATATATGTAATGTCAAAAGATTACATACTGTATGCTTCCACTTACATAACATTCTCAAACTGACAAAAGTACAGAAATGGAGAACAGATCAGCGGTTGCCAGGGGACAGGGATGATGGTGAGGGGGAGTGTGAGTATAAAGAGACAGCAGAAGGAAGCACTTTTGTGGTGACTAGACAGTTCTGTATCTCGACTGTGGTAGTGGTTACACACAAATCTATACAGGGGATAAGACTGCACAGAACTGCACACACATACACACACACACGAATGTATATAAAAATGGTGAGAAATGAGTAAGGTCTGTAGTCTAGTTAACAGAACTGTACCAAAGTCAACTTCCTGGTTTTGATACTGTACTACAATTATCTAGATGCCACCTTTAGGGCAAACTGAGTGTCTTAATTATCTAGTGCTGCTATAACAGAAATACCACAAGTGGATGGCTTTAACAAAGAGAAATTTATTCTCTCACAGTCTAGTAGATTAGAAGTCCAAATTCAGGGCATCAGCTCCAGGGGAAGGCTTTCTCTGTCAGCTCTGGAGGAAGGTCCTTGTCATCAATCTTCCCCTGGACTAGAAGCTTCTCAGCACAGGAACCACAGGTCCAAAGGATGTGCTCTGCTCTTGATGGTATGAGGTCCCCACTCTTTACTTGCTTCCCTTTCATCTCTTTTAAGATAAAAGGTGGTGCAGGCCACGCTCCAGGGAAACTCCCTTTACAATGGATCAGGGATGTG